AGGTCCCGCTCGCAATGTCCAGTGTCCGCGGTGGTCTGGTGGTCGGCGGCCCAGAGGGTACACCCTGCGAAATGCTTAAGAAATCATGGGTTAAGAAATTCATAGTCTCAGAACTTGCGTAAAAACCCAACATTTCTATTGAAATCTTAGGATTTACATTGAAACGTTAAGAATAATCGAGACTCTGGCCGAAAACTTAGGTTTTCTTAAGCATCGCCCAAGGTGTACTGGCCTTCGGTGTCCCCTGAGATCCCCTGAGCTGTGCAGGGTTCGCCCGCCGCTGTCATCGACGCCCCCAGCGAAAAACTCCGACCTCGGCCCTGACCTCCGACGTCTCGTGCTTTTTTTCGGGCCGCCAGCCCCTGGAGCTCTGGACCCCGTCCTGTCCTCTCATCCTGAGTCGCCTCTTGGCGGCGCGCACAGAGGAGGGATGGGGAGGGGGAATGGCTTCTCAGAAGCACCCCTGCTCCTAAGGAGCCTCCCCCCCTCCCCTTGCACCCCTCTGCGCGTGGCCGAGTCCCGAACTGTGCCCGGCCCGATCAAGCGGCCCCTGGAGGTTGAAGACTACCACGCGCCCTGGCTTTGCTTTTGGAGGTGTGGGCATTCCGGGGGGACAGAAGCGTACACCGATACCGCTACTCCCTGGACATACTCCCAGGGCCACAAACAAAAGCGTTCTGGACCTCTCCTGGGGGGCGTTCTGGCCAGACTTTCGGAGCGAATCCCGCCGTGGCGACGAGAGCCTCCCAGAAGGCGTAAGAGTGCGAAAACAGGGCAAGAGCGACGTTATCTGTACCTTTTCCACCTCTGAGATCTGGGAGGTTCGAGGCCCTCAGGGGACGGCGAGGGTCGACCCCTGGCGCGCGGCCAGTCATATCAGCCCCGCCGCCCTGCACCGTTCCTGCAGGTCCTGCCTACGTTCGAAGCCCCAGTCCTCGTTGGCTTTCTGGATCTCGACCCTCTCCTCTGGGCTCAGCTTCCTGACGAAACTCAGGAGGTCCTGGTAGTGAGACTGCAGCGTGTCCTTCGCCGCGTCCCTGGAGGCCAGCGCGCAGTCCAGCGTGTTCAGAAACGAGTTGTACTGGAATAGACGCCACCACGCTGTGTGCCGCGGTTGGTGCGCGTCAGCCCCCCAGCTCCTTTTGCACCCCCAGCTGTGCTTGCAACGAGGGATTCTTGCCCTTGCGTGAGAGAGTTGTGGGCTAGTCTTTCGGGACATTCCTCCAGTCGCCGCCCGTGGTCGCCCTGCGCCGGTCGGCATGCCTGGACGTTCGCCAAGCAGCCGCCAGTAGCAGACTCGTGGCCGCCTCGTGCGCTGGCTTGCATGTCCAGGCTCTCTGCCAGTGGCCGCCTGCATAGATTGCGCCGCACAAAACACGCCCCATAGTTTGTACCCGCACATAATGCGCCGCCAGCCTATTCTCATTCCAACAGAAAAACGAACTCTACTACGCTCTCGTGCCCGGACGTACCCCCTCACCATTGTATTGCAAATTGCACAGATAGCATTCTGCCTCATCAATTTCTTTCCACATGGACTCATACTATACCAGGCGAGCCCGTGCGTCACCGACGCACCCCTCGTCTCTGTCAAATCCTGCAATGCGCGCGCGCTCGTTTATCTCAGAAGATCATGCCCGAATAATCCCTTTCGAAAACAATACAACAACGTACACACGCGCGGGGACATACCGCAATGAAACCTAAAACACCAGTCCTGCAAGCGTCCCAACATAAAACAACATTGATTTCCCATCAGACCTGGCAGCTGCTCTGCCCGCGCGCAGATGCTAAAATCAGATGGAAGCGACTCTAACTTCACAGTCGCATCCGAAACTTGCATTCGCATCTCCCCACGCAGCGCATCCTCGTTAATCTCGCATGCGCCCAGTGGAGGAGTCCGTATGAGATGATACCATGCGGGCCCCATGTGCGCGCCGCCACGCGGGCGTGTCGAAATCCTTCCGTAACCATTGGCGCTCGAAGTATTTCAAGATAGAGCTCTGCAACAACATTCTATGAACAGTCTAAAACGGTCCAATCAATATTTCGCCAGAATTAATGAATTTCTGCGCGCGCACCCCCTCATTACTCTCAGCAGCGCCATCGCATCACCGCCGACACCGTGACCGCCAACCGCCGGCGTTGCTGCCATCATCCGAACAATCACGTCCATCACTGACACATGGACATCATTATCATCATCATCATCATCATCATCATCATCATCATCATCATCATCATCATCATCAACATCATCAGCAGCATCAGCATCCTCGTCATCGTTGTCACCAGCATCGGCGCCGTCATTGGCATTGTCGTCGTCATCGTCATCATCGGCACCACCATCGCTATGATAATCATCGTTGCCGTCGTTGTCGGCGTCATCATGAACTCGCGCCCGCCCGAATCATCGACCCGCACTGAAGTGCCCTCGCGCCAGCGCGACCTTTGAGACACGTTGGGAACTTTCTATCGGTAAGCGCCATCGCGGCTGCCTCAGCTGTTCCAAACCAGCTGGTCGATCTGCGCGGGAGATGGCGCGCGCCAGCGCGGCCGTAAAGATGCGCCAACAAGCTGCAATCGGCAACCGCAATAGTGGCCGAGTGGGTCATGGCAGACAAGTTGCGGGTGAGAGGGTGGGGTGCCTGCGCGAGCACTGGAATTGATACATCGGTGGCAAACTTAATTCCATCTCGCAGAGTACATGACGACGTCGCATGTTCTGGCTCTACTTGGCGGATTCCGGAAACCCGAAACCCACACATGTTTTCATTTTTGGGGGGCCATATTTTACTTTCGCCGGCTTCCGCCGGCGGAGGTGGCCTCGCTTTACTTCCGCCGATCTTCCGCTGCCCTTCCGCCGCAGGATAGATGACAACTCCTTCGATCCTCGAAGGCGAGGCACTTTTTGGAACGCCTTACTTAGCTTTTGGCCTTAGGGAGTGACGACTGCCCAAGTGGCGACAACGTTCTGGTGGGACATTCCGGGGGGCCCGCCCACGCTCGGCCCAACCAGCCACCCCTAGGGGACTGTGGTCCTGACACCCCTTGGAGAGCGTCTCCTCCTCCTCCTCCTCCTCCTCCTCCTCCTCCTCCTCCTCCGGGTGTAGAGCACCTTTGGAAAGGATCTGGAACACAGCTCCTGCAGATGTGGCAGCCGTTGGCATGAGGGCAAGGGGTCCTGAAGAGAGCGGGCCCTGCACCCCATGAGCTCCCCCGGAGACATTTTGCATCGAGTCGTTTGCTGACGGTCCCGGGTCCCCCGGGGCAGCAAAAAAAAAGGAAAACCTCAGGACCCCTCGTGTCCTTCGTGGCAAATATTTGCGGAACATCCCTCCCGAGTGGCGGATGTGCGCTGCAGCGCGGCCAGATCTTGCTCGACCTGTCCCGCGCCTTCGAGTTGCTCATCGCCACCGCAAGCTCGAGGGTTGCTGGCCCAAGGTGCCGCCAACCTCTTGCGCCAATTTGGAGCCCCTTGGAGCCCTCTGGGCCTCGCGATGGGGTGCTCTGGAGGCCGTGGATGCGTCCCTGAGACCCACCTCACAAATCTGCGCTCCGATCTCTCCACGGGGTGCGTTCTGACCAGAATTGCGAGGGGAGTCCAGCCGTGGCCACGAGAACCGCCCTCAGGAGATCCAACAAGGGCGGAAAGCGTCCAAAGTGGGGAAACCCAACCAAAAGATACGGATACTGCCAGTCCCTGGACTTTTCCTGGGGTGCGCTCTGACAAGAATTTCGAAGCGAATTAAATACTGACGACGAGAGTCTCAGAAGGGCCAAAAAAGCGAGAACGAGTCGAAGGTAGCGGTATCGGTACCTCTTCCTCCTTTGACAGAACCCTCGATCATCGATCCTCGATCTCCGAGCGGGGGCACCTTGTTAGGCTAAGGACACCTTCGGCAGCCACCCGACAGGTGGCCAAATTGGAAACAGCGGATCCCTGCTGCCGGCACCGCCCGCGCCGCCTCGCCGCTCACGTCGCCCGCGGGCGTACGTGGGCGGCGGGGCGGCCTGTAGCCGCCGCGATTGAGCCGGAACGGCTGCAGTTTGCAGATGCAGCAAGAAATCTCGCGATAAGACATCTAGAGGCACGTTTGTCGTCGAGCTCTGAGCTTCCTGAGGTGCCCCAGGGCTTCTATGCGGCCTCCCAGGGCCATCGGGGGATCAGAAACTTTTCGTGGGGCGCCTGCGGACACTCCGGCTTTGTGTTCGAGGACTTGCGTCCAGGACGCCTTCTGCTGGCTCGCCCCCTGGCGAGATACGCTGCGGGCCTGCGCTGCTGGGCGAGGATGAAGGACAAGAGCTCCTCGGCCTCCTCCTGCTCCTTCGCTTCCTTCTCATCTTCCTTCTCGTCTTCCCTCTCCTCTTCCTCACCCTTGCGCGGAACCTGCTTGCCCAAGGGCTGGGTGGAGAATTTCTGCTGTGCCCCTGGAGACACGCCTGGAAACGCCTGCCATCACCAGGCCCGCCTCTAGTGCCCGCCCCTCCTAGGGGAACAGCGACATAAACGTGACAACTCGAAGCTCCGCGTGGATCTCTCGGATCGACGCTGGGCGCCAGCAGACAATGACATAAGCACAACAACTCAAAGGTCCGCGCGAATCTCTTGGATCGGCGCGGGGGCCCCCTGGCGGCGCCTCCGGCGCCGCCCCTGACGCGCTCCGCGCGCCGGGAAGCGGGGCCCAGCGCCGATGCAAGAAATCCGCGCGGACCTCCGAGCTTTTCTGGGACGCACATGGACATACTAGTACTATATGTCCTCCTTGGAGGCGCGCGTCCGACCCGAACATATAGTATACCCATCTTGTAGTATATCGTTTCCCGAGCGGTGTGGCCAGAAAGCGCCCGCCACGACGCATATACTATAAGATTTCTCGGTGCGCGCGTCGCCCCTGGGGGGGCGACGCACATATAGTATAAGTATGTTGGGGTGTTGCCGATTTTCTGTTCATGCCATTGTTTGTCCCTCACCCCCGGTCTCATTCGACCCATTCGTTCGGGGAGGCGTAAGACTCGGATTCGGGGGACTCGGGTTGGCCCGACGCGGGTTCCAAGACAGTTCCCGGGAAAAGCTGACACTCCTCGGGAAAAACTGGCACGCCCCGGTGGCACCCGGGAATGTCTCATTCCTGCGGTGCTTCTTTTGCGAATGTTTCGCGCGCTGGGACCATTGCCTCACTTCTTGGTGGAGTGGCCCAAGCCCGAGAAGCACCTCATTGTTCGCCGTCCTCCTCCTCGTCGAGCTCGCCCTCCTCCTCCGCTGCGTGACCATCAGGCGAGACGAGGTGATCCAACAGTATGTCATAGAGCAAAATGTCATTTTCGCAACTGTGCGCCCAACAAGACCCGTGCCCACCGGTGGCATGATTCTTCATAAGCGGCGGGTTGCCGCTTCTGCTCAGCACCCTCCAGAGAGGAACCTCTTCATGGAACTTGCAACACTCGTCGCCATGTGAATGCACAACGAAAATGGGCATGCCGCAGAGCGCCGCCACCAGCCGCTCTCGGCGCTCGGGGAAGTGGTAGCCACTAACCACTGCAATCGCTGCGAAGAGGCTAGGGCACTTTGCTGCTATCTCCCAGGTGGCATAGCCTCCCATCGAATATCCTCTGGCATATACGCGCTCGTGGTTGCACCACTCCGCCGCGGACAGTTGGGCGATCAGCTCCGCGACCCACGTGTCGGGCAGGCTCCTCCAAGTCCATTCGCACTTGGGTGAGACGATGACGAAGTTACGTGAGGCGTACTCGACGCCTGGAGAGAAACGTTTGTTCCACTTCTTCTTGCCGCCTCCACCATTCGGCAACGTTTCTCCCAGAGTCGAATGCAGATAGAGCAGCAGCGGCCAAGGCTTGCCGCTATCGATCCTGAAACCCGCTGGGAAAAAAACGAAACCAGTCTCAGCCGCCCTTCACGATCCACGAACTGGCACTCGTCATCGCCGTCACCATCGCCATCGCCATCATTGTCGTCACCCTCGTCGATGTCGTCGTCGTCGTCGTCATCCTCCTCCTCGTCTCGTCACCGTCGCCCTCGTCGTCGTCACCGTGACTGTCGTCATCGTCGTCGTCGCCCTCGTCAGAAACGTCATCGTCGTCATCGTCGTCCTCGTCCTCGTCTCGTCACCAACCGCAGCGTCCAGCACGGCAAAGCATGCGGCACTTCTTTGCGACGTGTGGCAAGACCAGCGCCCACAATGCGCATGCGATTCCGACTGGCTGATTCATCATGCACACGCTTCAAGGACGGCCCGTGCGCGATGCACCAACCTGCATTTCAGGCGCAGCATGCACAGCGTACGAAAAGCTTACTGATGCAGGGCAGCATGCGGCACCTGTGTCAAATAATTTCGAGCCAGCAGCAGCGCGGGGCCGACCGAGAAGACCGCTCGGCGCCTGCGCACAAATATGTCAAACAAGCGCGATGGGTCGTGGATCTCCTACCTCCCTCGAAGCTTCTTTCCCGAGAACAAGCTCCCCTGGAAAGTTCCCGTCTTCTGTGCCGGTGCCGCTTTATCTCCATGTTGCATTTTTCGCAACGTCAGAACACAGGGGAGGAAGAGGAGGAGGAGGAGGAGGAGGAGGAGGAGGAGGTGCAGAAGGAGGAGGAAGACAACGAGGAGGGGGAAGGTGGAACACTGTAAGACGACGATGGCGAAAAGGATCCGCAGCGGCGGCAACGGCAATCAGCTGCAGGCGCAAATGCAGGACGAACATGTGAGGGAAGGGGGAGAAGTGAAGCAAGAAGGAACAAGGAGGGGGAAGGGTGTCGAGGAGGGGAAAGGGGGAAAACGTGGATCTCCCCCTCTCCTCTCTTCCTCCCTCCCTCCCTCCCTTTCCCTCCTTCCTCCATCCCTTCCTCCTCGCCCACTCCGTCCTTTGTCCGCCTCTCTCCCTCCTCCACCAAAAAATTCAGGATCATCTCCCTATCTCATCTCATCGGTCGACTCCTGAAAAATCGAGCCGAAACATATTCGTCACTTCGGGTGTCTGGAAGCCTGTTCCGCACTTCTGGGGCCCAGGACGAACTAACTACTATGGATGAAAGACCAGGCCCAGGCAAGAGGTCGAGAGCCCCGAAGAACGGGGGCTCTCGACCTCCTGCGGTCACGTCTCGGCTCGAGCCCTGGCCTAAAGCACCCCACTGCGCCATCACCATCGCCTGTCGACCGCCCAGGGCTGAAGCGCGGACGGGGCCGAAGGGATGGCACTGCTTCGCCGATGCATCGGCGAGGCGCGGGCGTCGCTGGGGCGCAGAAGATGGGGCTCTAGATGCGCAGCGCCGCACAACCAATGCGTCGGCGGGGCGGCGCGAACCTCCGACCCACACCTAGGCGTTCGGCAACCAGGCATAGGTAGAAGAAGAGAAGTCGGCACAAACATAAAGTTCGAAGGTCCGCGCGGATCTACTGGATCCTCCCTCACTACCTTCCATGCCTTTTGGGCGTGCGCCCTCCTCCTGTGAGAGAGGAGGGGGGTGGCGAGGAGAGTAGAGCGGGGAGCGGGGAGGAGAGGGAAGGGGGAGGGAGGATGGAGGGGAGGGTGGAGGCAGCTCGCTGGGAGAGAAGGGGGGAGGAGCTGGGGAGGAGGGTGGAGGGGAGGGGGGAGGAGGGCTGGTGGATGAGGTGAGGAGGGTGGAGGAAGGAATGTCTGGGGACCCCGCCCCCGCGGTGCGCGCGCGTGGGCGCCGGCGCGCACGAACACGCCGCAGGCACCCGTTTTTTTTTTTGGAGCGCGCCTGCCCGCGCGAACGGCCGTCGCGGCAGCGCGCTGCCGCGCAGGTGCGCGCGCGCAGTGGCGTCAGGCGCGGCAGGGGTAGGTCACGTTGATGAGCACGACGCGGATCAGGTACAGGTTGAGCGCGATGTGCAGCGCGATGACGATCGCGCCGACAGTGTCCGTGTTCGCCTGCCCGTTGAGCACGTCCGCGATCTTGTCGATCAGGCTCTCCACGTTGGAGTAGAGGATCCCGATCATCACCGCGAGCGCCAGGGCGCAGAAGCAGTACCACGACTGCCGGAACTTGTGGCTCTCGTCGTCGGCGAGCCCCCCGCGGAGCAGGAGCTCTGCGGGCCACATGGTGGACACTAAGCGCCACCGCGACAGCGGCGGGACGGCCTCGGGGTCCGTCTCGGCGGCCCTCTGCCGCGCCTTGGCCTTCTTGACCAGCAGCTCCAAGAGCTCCTCCATGTCGTCCGGCAGCTCTGCCTCCAGAGCCTCGACGTCATGTTTTGATTGTTCCACAGCGTCGAATCCCAGAGGTCTCCACCCCTTCCCCAGCACCGGCATTTCATCCCGAGTCGCTCTTTGACGGTCCTGGGGCCCAGCGAGGGCCCCCAGAGGCAGAACATCGGGAAAAACCCTCCGTCGTGTTTCTTTCGCGACGCGCGAAGGGGGTCTGGGCCTCCCCAGTCGGGCAGATGTCCAGCCGGACGGCGGCCGCCGTGGCGGGCTCCTCTTGGAGGCGGCAGGGAGGATCTCAGGTGGGAAAGTCCAGAGACAATCGGTCAAGATGTGGGGATGAAGGCAAGTTCGCTCAAAATAAATCCCCAGACCTGTCCCAGCGTAGTTTCTCGAGCCACGACCAGCCGTGGAGACGAGGGGGCCCCTTTCGACCTCTCTTCTGCTGGACGGAACCAGTGCTGGGCCACCTCAGCCCCCCAGCCGGCTCGAAGGCTCCTGGATCATCTCCATTCCCGCGAGCGACCTGCGAGCGGTCTCCGGGTCCTCCTCGAAGTACTTGCTCAGGGGCAAAAGGCTCGCCTCCGTGTCGTACGCCCCGTACAGGTAGACCACGTACAGCACCACGGGCCCGATGAAGAAGACGGAGGCATCGTCCGCCTGGCTGATGTTGGAGAGACCAGAAAAACATATACATAAATGTTCTGAAATCCGCGCGGGCTTCTGGGATCCGCGCTGGACCCCGCTGGCGGCACCTCTGGCGCTGACGCTGGCGCGCTTCGCGCGACAGGATCTGGCGCCGATCCAAGAAATCCGCGCGGACCTCCGAAAGTGTACACCCTGCGAAATGCTTAAGAAATCATGGGTTAAGAAATTCATAGTCTCAGAAATGGAATAAAACCCAGAACTCCTATCAACATCTTGGGATTTACATTGAAAAGTTAAGAATAATCGAGACTCTGGGCGAAAACTTAGGCTTTCTTAAGCATCGCCTAAGGTGTATGTGCATGCTTTTTTCCTTCCCCGAGATGAGGCCGTCCGGGGTCAGCGCGCCCATGGACACGTTGCTGAACAGGCTGAGCCCGGCGCTCGTCCAGACCAGGAGGGCGTAGTGCATGAAGGCGTTCGCGACACAGAACAAGATGCAGAGGAAGAGCGGGTCCGACAGCGGGGAGAAGTTCTCGATGTCCAGCAGCACGCCGTGCTTCAGCAGCCTGTAGTACATGCGATGCTGCAGGAACATGCGCGAGGAAACCATGATGGCTACCAGCAGCGCCAGCAGGGGGAAGCACCGCACGTAGGCCTTGGTGTATTCGCAGCCAGCGGCCACTGGGTATCCATACAGCGAAGGGTCGCAGGACATCAGGTAGTCGTGGCTGAAGAAAACGGACACGATGATGATCCCTAGACGGTCGTTACCAGAGGTGGCCCTGGCCTGAGGCGGCCCACACGCTCCAGGGAAACCACCATTGAGGGGCAACGATAGGAGGGGCTGGCCTAGGGGGGGAAGCATCGACGTGTCGGCATGGAATCGACGATACATCGCCGAGAGATCGGCAATAGGCCCCCGATAGTACATCCGCACGGTCCTGGGCAGGTTGGGGATACTGAGCCCCTATCGGTGATGAATGGGCGAATGGGGGTCGATGCGTCCCCCCTTATGCCTATCCCCCCCCAATCGTTGCCCCCGAACCCCAAGGGCCTCCAGAGCACCCCTCGCGAGGCCCAGGGGCACTGGATCAGGGGGACGTAAGACCTGGGTACAGGGGACTCGGAAATCCCCGACGAGGTCGTCAAAAAAATGACGAGGCCGAGCCTGCATTTTGACGAGGCCTCCCGCTGCAGACATCCCACGAAACTCCTCCTCGTCAAAATCCGAGGCGCGGTCGTCAAAAAACGATGGCGAACCCGAGTCCTGGCAAACCCGGGTCTTACGCTCCCCCGACTGGAGAGCCCGACGCAAGACCTCGGACCAGGGCCACCTCTGTCAACAGCCGACTGCTGGCTCCCCCGAAGTTCCGACCCCATCCACTGGGGGCGGGTGTGTTGGTGGGCCTGTTTTCCACCACCGCCACCATGAGTTGGAGGGGGAGGGGGTCCTCCTCCTCCTCCTCCTCCTCCTCCTCCTCCTCCTCCTCCTCCTCCTCCTCCCCTCCAACTTATGGTGGTGGTGGTGGAAAACAGGCCAGTCATGTGTCGTCTCGTGCAAACTTCCGACAGCCCCTCGGCCGAGAAGCGCCCTCCCCACCCCCTGGGGCCGACCTCTGCGACCTCTGCCCTGGTTTGTTCCAAAACGTTCGGGGCCTGGGCTTCCCTGAGGGGGATAAGGGTGGACCGTTTCAGGGGGGCAATCCCGAGTTGCACGATGGCCGCTAATTACCGTGCCAGATGCCGGCCAACCGGCACTGGCTCGTACCGTACCGCGCCAAACGGCCGTGGCAACCGTACCGATCGATACCGCACCGGCCTCCGCTACCGTACCGGACGATCCCGCGCCGGCCACAGCCACCGTACCGGACGATACCGTGCCAGCCGCGGCGTCTGCACAGGACGACACCGCACGAATCGGACGCGTTGCAACCAAGGTCCCGGGTCCCGGAACCCCGTGGCCCTCAAGGTCCCGGGACCCCCCGGTCCTCTGGGACCCCCCGGTCCTCTGGGACCCCCCCCCGGTCCTCTGGGATGGGACCCCCCCCGGTCTCGTATGGCCGCGACCAATTTTAGCAATCCTAGGGCCTCTGGGGACCCATGGGACCCCCCCCGTCCCGGGACCCCCCTGGTCTGTCGGAGCCCCCCCGGTCTCTCGGGACCCCCCCCGGGCCCCTCAACGACGACGACGCCGACGACGACGCCGACGCCGACGAGGACGACGACGACGAGGTGCTCACCTAGGCTCCGGGGCGGAGGCGCTCTCCCTCATCCCTCCTCCCTCCTCCCTCCCCAGACCCCCGACGTCGTGATTTTTTCACGACGTCGACCCCCAGAGGTCCGGACCCCTTCCCCGGGACCGGTTCTTCGTCCTGAGTCGTTTTTTGACGCTCCCGAGGCCCGGTAAGGGCCCCCGGAGGCCGAAAATAGCGAAAAACCTCCCGTCGTGATTTTTTCACGACGCGAAGGGGTCTGGGTCCCTCCTCCCTCCTCCCTCACCCACCCCTCTGTGAAAAGGTGCTGGGCCGCGGGAGGGGCGGCGCGACGAGGCACCCGCCAGGGGGCGCTCCGGCGTCACCGCGCCGTGACGGCGTCGGCGCGCCGCCAGGCGGCGTCGGCGCACCGCCAGGACGCGTCGTCGTCGTCGCCATCCTCTGCTCCTTCCTCCTCTTCCTTCTCCTCCTCCTCCTCCTTCCTCCTCCTCCTCCTCCTTCCTCCTCCTCCGTCCTCCTCCTCCTTTCCCTCCTCCTTTTCCTCCTCCTTTTCCTCCTCCTTTTCCTCCTCCTTTTCCTCCTCCTCCTCCTCCTCCTCCTCGTCCTCCTCCTCCTGCTTTTCTTCACCCTCCAAGAGCCGAAGCGAAACCCGATCGGGATATCGGCAAACGCCGGTTGACACATCGAATCGGCAGGAGTCAGGGCCTCGTAATCCCACAACCGTACCGCGTGGTCCTGCGACCGTACCAGCACCGTTCCCGTGCGAGCCTAGTACCGTACCCGCGTTACCGGTACCGGCGGTACGAACCGGACAGTGCTGGCCGTACTGGCACCGCGTGCTCTTGCCACCGTACCGTACTGTACGTTACCGTGGCAACTCTGGAGGTGGAACCGGCGATGCATCGCCAAGAAATCGGGGATAGCCCCCGACAGCAAAACCACACGTTCCTGGGCTGGGTGGGCCATCGGACCCCTATCGGCGATGAATGGGCGACGTGGGGGTCGATGACCCCCCCCCCGAGCCTGTCCCCTGGTGGTTTTCGGGTCATAACTCGAGCCGTTCCGGACGATCCAGGCACCCATTGAAAGCTCTCGGCGAGGCGCAGCCGCTGGAAGGCACCACGAAGCTGGAAAGCCGCCGAGAACAGACCACAGCGCCCGAAAACCTCGAACCTCGAACCCCTTGAGCCTATTCCCCCTAATCTGGGCTTCGCTCGCGCCGGCCTAGTGTTACGCACTGCTTCAGCACGGGCAGCATCGCGCTGTGCAACAGGCCCCAAGGCTCGCCCAGGGCGTGCCATTGCAGCAGGCTGGCGGCGGCGCCGTTGCCCCGCGGCGTGGTGCTGGAGAGGGCGATCGACGCCTGCAGGCGGGATGAGGAAGAGGGCAAGTTTTGCCCCCGACTGTCGAGCATCGAGAGGGGGCCCTCTTCCTCCTACTCCTCCTCCCCAAGGCGGGCTGGGCGTTTCGCCTGAGAACTAATCGCCCTGTATGATCCTGACGCCTGGAATTTGGAACAGTTGCACCAATGCAGGGCGAATCCTTTTCAAGACGTGGCCGTCGCCTCAGCTCAGCTGGAGGATGGAGGAGGAGGAGGAGGAGGAGGAGGAGGATGGAGGAGGAGGAGGAGGAGGAGGAGGCGGAGGAGGGGGAGGAGGAGGAGGAGGAGGAGGAGGAGGGGGAGGAGGAGGAGGAGGAGGAGGGAGGAGGAGGAGGAGGAGGAGGAGGAGGCGGGAGGAGGAGGAGGAGGAGGAGGAGGAGGAGGAGGAGGAGGAGGCAGGATCAGAGGATCAATCAGAGGAAAAGTCTGCCATCGCTCCACGGACGGAGAGGGCGCCTGGTTTTCAACACGTGGCTCTCGCCGTGGCGCCGCGCATACTCGTCTTACACGTGTTCAACAGCTTCGGTCCCCTTCGGCATGTGGCTCCTCCTCCTCCTCCTCCTCCTCCTCCTCCTCCTCCTCCTCCTCCTCCTCCTCCTCCGCCTCCGCCTCCTCCTCCTCCGCCTCCTCCTCCTCCTCCTCCTCCAGCTTACACATGTTCAACAGCTTCACGAACATGTTACACATGTTCGTGGTTTTCAAAATGTGGCTGTCGCCTTAGCGCTGCGCACTCTCGTCTCAAAAAGTTGCGACAGCTTCACGGATGGAGGGCGAATCGTTTTCAAAACCTGGTTCTCGCCCTAGCGCGGCGCATACTTGTCTGAAGAGCGTGCATCAGTTTCACGGACGGAGGGCGGTTCCTTTACAAAATGTGCCTCTCGTCTTAGCGCCGCACGCATTCGTTTTGCAATTCGCAACAGCTTCACGCATTCGTGTTGTCGAAGTCCCACGAGTGGTGCTCCGGTTCGGTGTAGCATTACCAGGACGCAACAGTCACATTGACTCGCGGTGCTGAAGTTCCAGAGGAGGTATCCTGGCACGTTTATAACCTGTCACCCTGGAGTGGTGTTCTGGCACGGCTGAGGATTCTCAGGCGGTTGCCTTCTAAATGGTAATACATTAATTTAAGGGGCAATGGAAAGAGAACTTGGAGGGAGGGTCTATTGTATAGTCCTCCTCCTGTTCGTCCTCTCCCTCCTCCTCCTATCCCTCCTCCCTCTGACTCCTCTTCTTCGAGAACCCAAAAGGGGAGGCTGGCGGAGGCAGGATGATGAAAAATGGTGAAAAGGAGAAGGTGCCAGGAGTGGGAGGCACAGGGAGAGGGAGGACTCAGAGGATGGGGGAGGACCTGATGCGTCTTCTCAGATTCTCCTCCTCCATCCTCCCTCCTCCCATCACCCGGGCGACTCCAACCTAAGACCCATGGAGGCCCAACCGGAAAGAAAAAAAAAATGGGGCGCGCCGAAGAACCCAGGGGGTCCGGTTTCCGCGGAGGAAAGAAAAAAAACCTGGCGATGGGATTCGAGCACGGGGGTTACCCCCCCCTCAAATTCCGGAAGAGGAATGAACTCCCAGCCGCGGGGGTGCCCGCGCGAGGGGTCCCACCCCCCCAAGCGCAACCAGAGGAAGCAAAGCGTGAGAGCCGAGACTGTAAGTGAGAGTCCAGCTGTTATATGATACCAGCTGCACTCGAATATTTGCACGGCAGGACAACGTGCTCTCTAGGAACAACTGCGCGATAGGACATGATAGTACCAGTTGTACTCAAGTACGAGTTGTACGGTAGTCGGAGGGGTTCAGGGGTTCCAACGGCAACGCGCGCGGGGAAGAAGGAAAGAAATCCATGCGCCGCCAGGGGTCCCGGGTTTAACGGGTCGCCGCGAAGGTTGACCCCCCGCGGAAAGAAGAAAAGAAATCCGGCCGGGGGGTTGGGGGGTTGAGGGATGAGTCACGGGGGCGATCTCCTCCCTCCGCCCTCATCCCTCGCCGGTGGCCGGAGCCTCCGCGTGGCAAACGGTCGAAGCTGGCGTGGGCGGAGCCTCTCCGGAGAGGACGACCGATGCCTCCGCTGACGGCGACGACGCCTGGGTGGTTGGTGGTGCTTACGAGATTCCCACGTGACACGGAGCTACAGTCAACGTGCAGCCATCGTGCTGATATGAAGGAAGCAAGATCTGGAACTGAGCCCCTCTTGGCCTCAAAAGCGACTGGGTGCATTGGGAGCGTCAATGGAACAAACATGCAAACGCCTCAGGAACAGCGAGCCCCTTCCGAACCCGGGCTGCTCCGTGTTTCAGCGTCTTGGTTGTACTTAGTGGTGGTGGTGGTGGTTGTGACACGCTGGGCGAGCCGAGAACCGTGCCGCCCAGCAGGACAGGGCTCCACCACGGTTCGAGACCACCATCACCGAGCAGCGCGCCGTAAAGGATGAGGTCCAGCACCGGGTGGACGCAACCTTCGGGTTAACTCCTGACCACGGGCTGAAGGCGGTGCGAGTTGCACCGGGAGGCCGGTTCACACTGGCGAGCCAGCTCGCGAGACGTTGGAGGCGGCTAGGCAGCTCAGCGTGGCAAGTGATGGACGCTCGACGCCAACCCCGACACGCTGGACGGATGGAGGAGCAGGAAAATATGGAGGACGCGTACTAGAGTAACAAGTAGGGAATGAAAGATAAGAGAATGTGCGCTCTGATTTGCGAGAGCGATGCATGCGGCATGCGGTGCTGTTAGGCGCATATGCGGGCGCTGAGCCTGGCCAGGCTCAGGGCCCGAAAAGGCATCGGGAGAGAGGCGGGTGACACAGGGCAGGGGCAGTGGAAGGCATGGATGGTATGACATGGGTCCGTTCGAGTCTGGTGCTCAAGCACGCTCGTTGTTCCCTCGGCAGAAGCAGTTACACTTCCACCAAGAGACCAACCCTGCCCTGCTAGCCTGCCTCGGGTCTGGCCTACAGCTCCAGGAAGCCCACGTCGAAGGTCTGCGGGCTGAGGAGCTGCGCCGAGTGGAGCACCGCGCAGTCGTAGGCGCTCAACTCCCGGCGTGCCTGTCAAAAGGATCCGCCTGGAACAACACCCATGGAACGTTGTCTCCCCTCACTGTCTGTGGAGAGCCGGCAAAAAGCGCGGCCCTCCTCGCTGATATGGAGGCCAGGAGCATGTTGTCTTACTCCTGGGCTTGTTTGCTGAGGCTGGCTGCGCGGTGTCGTAGTCGCAGTCTGCTCACCGTTCAGGTTGCGCAGCTCCCTCAGTCTCCGTGCCTGCACTGGGCTTGTTGTTCAGCCTCGAGTGCTGGCTGCTCGGCGCGCTCTTCTTCCTCTTCTCGTCGCCCCAGCGCGCCGTCGGATGAGTACAACTGGCATGGCCAGTCATGACTCCCAAGATGAGGTCCCGACCGATGCTTCCCTTAGTCGTCGGGTCGGCCCTCATGTCTCTGGCGTCGCACCGCAGCATGTCTTCGAGCTGCTTGGTGCGAAGCTGGGCGCTCAGCCACTAGGTGGCCAGCCATCGAATTCTCGGATGGCGGCCGGGCGGAGTCGGACAGCAGGGCCGTGGGGACCGACGTGCCGTCTGCGACCAGCTCGGCCGTGATGGCGTAGCTTCCTTCCTCCCGCAGCCGTCGGATCTCCTCCGCGGTGGCCCGGCCGTGCGCCATCTCGCGCAGGGCGAGGAGGCGCTGCTGCACCCCGTCAGCTGCGCCGCAGGCCGCGAGCAGCTCTGAGCCGAAACAGGACCTGCACACAAGCTTGGGTGATCTGCTAATGGCATCCAGCAGGTGGCAGACCTCCTCACCCGTCTTGGGGCACGCGCCCATGCGCATGTACACGGCGCCGCGCATGCCGCACCCCGTCTCCTCTTCCCTCTTGAAGGAGCTGTCGCTGTGCACGACCAGTCGCTTGCCGCACTTCACCGCTGGGAAGACGATGCGCGCCTTCAGCTTCTGCATGGCCAGAACGACTGAGTTGAGCTGCATCGCGTGTCTGATGAGCAGCTTGTTCTTGGCTCTCGGCAGCGCGACTACGTGCACAGCCACATGGTGTTGTGCAAGTAGCGCGTAGGCTACTGCTCCCAAGAAATACGAATAGGTCCGGGAGCGGACCGGCGGCCGGCTGATCCGCCCTGGCCTTGACCAGGTCGACGTGCCTGATAGGGATCAGCGCGTCGATGTACTCGTCCTGGTCAAGGGTGACCGCGCCGTCCTTGGTGCGGCTCTGGTGGGCGCCGCAGTTGGCGAAGCCCTCCCAGTCGCCCTTCATCTTGCCGAAGACGCTCTCGATGTGAGAGATCAGCTGGTCCACGGGGTCCACGTGCTTCTTCTGCCCAGCTATCTTCAGGTCGTCCACGTGCTTGGATAGCATGAGCACTAGCTCTGAGACACCGGGAGCATGGCTCGTAGGCGCCTCATGCTTGACCTCGAGCTCCGGGTCCCAGCGCGTCTGCTTGGCGTTGCACTCTGGAGAGCGCGTGACCCGGGCGAGCTTCATGGAGAACGCCCGCGGAGCATCCTTGCAGCCTGTGCCCGGCTTGATGCAATGGAGGCACTCCGTCGTCTCGTCGAAGTCCTCGTAGCCGGGCACCTTCCGCAGTATCGCGGCGCCGCCGGGAGGCAGCGTGAAGTTGACCTCCCTAGGTGCCTCGCCCTGTTCCTGCATCTCCTCGTAAGTCATCCCTTGCAGGAGGGCCTTCTCCACGCCCACGGCGACATAGACTCAGTCTGGTCTGCGCGCCGCCCCCGAAGACAGGATGCGCTGAGACGAACGCTTCGCTGTCCCAGCGAACGTCTCCAACGCCCGCGCGTCCATGTCTCTGAAGCCCCGCAGTGCCATCCACCATCTGATGATGCGGACCATCTTGCCCTCCGCATTCTCGCGGTGCTTCCACTTGAAGACGTGGCGGGAGTCCATGACGTTCCGAGCTCCTCGAAGGGGCCGTCGCTCGAAACGCTTGTACTTGACCCAGATGGTGAGCTCCTCCAAGATGGCTGCGG